ACCATGAGGCTATGTGCTTATGTGATATACCTGCCTGAATGCCTGTGGGTGAAGGTTGGGTTGCTTGAGTTGGGGTAATTCGTCGAAACCCGTGTTTTAGCCTACTTGCGAGTAGCAAACTTCAAATCCATTTTCAAAACAAACGGATGTGCGATGCTTTGTTCCAACTTAAGTAATCCAGTCTATACTTGTATGCTGTGCGCATCACATAGTAAATCTAGGCTAATAATCGGAATAAGAGCACATAATGTTTTCAAAACCCGATATCATGGTTAGTAGAGGCTGATCTTTGATCGGGCGAGCGGGGGTGCTCACGAAGTGACCTTCTCCAATCGTACCCAAATTTCTAAGCCAAGACAACTTTGGTGATGATGAACGCGTGGTCTTAGACAAACGAGTCAGGGTTTCCTAAATTTCTCAAAATAAAATATTTAGGTGGCAACTCTGTATCTAGCAAAGCAGTCAATGTTTGACACTTCTTTCAAAAAAATCTATTTTTAAAAACGATTTGCCGGATTTGGACTCTTTGATGATTCATCGGTCTTGTATTGCACTCTGCGAGATTAGATACATGACCGTGACATTTGAGTCCCGAACTGTAGTGAGCCCATATGAACAAAACGGGATTCCCTCCCGGGACGTTCGGGGACGTCTACAGAGTATAAGTTGTTAACCTATTTGGTGTAGCTGTGAGATTATGGATTTAAGTAGCAAAGTAATGTTTGGTTAATAAGCTGTAAAATAGCTTTTTATTGTATGATTGTCCTTTCTACCCTTATATGATATAAAAATGATTATTTTTTCATTTTTTTCAGTTTTAATTTTCATTAATAAAAATTAATATAATCAGTATTAATTAGTATCAATTAATATAAAAATTGATACATTTGCTAAAAATGAAAGGAAGTATTATTGTCACATTTATTTTCCATTATAAATTAATTAGTATTAATTAATTGCTTAATTATTAATTAATTGCTTAATTAGTATCAATTAATACTAAATTTATTAATTAGTGTCAATTAATGGCTTAATTAGTCTCAATTAATACTAAAATTATTAATTAGTATAAATTAATATTAATATTTAATTTTTATTAGTATCAATTAATATTAATAATCGACAATTGTTATTAATTAGTATCAATTAATAATTAATTCATTACAAAAGTATACAATATTAATTTATTAATAATTAATACCAATTAATATTGATTTTTTTAATTAATATTGATTTTTTTTCTTTTTCTTTAGAAATATACAATTTTTTATTTTTTTAATTAATATAAAAATATACAATATGAATTTATTAATAATTAATACCAATTAATTTTTCAATTAATATTGATTTTTTTTCTTTTTCTTTAGAGATATACATTTTTTTTTATTTTTTAATTAATATTAATATTTGAGTATTGATGAGGGCATTTAAGTAATTTTAGCCCCCCACACTAGCTGCACGCTTAAGTAAAAAATTTAAGCATCCCTTGACCAACTTTTGAGATAAGCTGAGAAATAGCTTGATTTAAGCTATAAGCTGGTTAACTTAAGTTGCACAAAATACAATATTTTAGCTTAAATTAAACTAAAAGCTGAAATAAATAGCTTATAAGCTGTACCAAACATGCCTACTATCTTATTAAACTTTTGCTAAATATATCATTTTTAAGATGTGACAATGAGACATCATTTTAATGTGTATACTGTTATCTTATTAAATTTTTGCAAATTATATCATTCTTCTTAAAATGTGACAATGAGACATTTACAAAAAAAACAAAAAAAAAAAAGAAAAAAAAGAAGAAGAAGAAGTTACTATTGGATTGATTTACAAAAAAAAGTGTATGACTATTGGATTGAAGGCAGTGGCTGGGATTAGGCCCTTCTATCCGCCTTGTCAATTCATGGACCTTCTTCAGGGGGTGATTCTTCGACCTCACAGTGCCAATCATGATCGGGAAATCTAGAAATCTTCGTCTTCGGACATGTTCTCCACTAGTCAACTTATAATATTCTTAGTCCTTCACTCTCCAACAATATGGGTACCAAAGGTTGGCAAATGATCTGGTTCCATCCTAGACCTAACTGATGGAAGCACTTTGCTTGGTTAGTCAAAAATGATCGTATTCTCACCAACGCCCTTCACTTGTGCAGAGGTTTGAGCTTAGACTCAACTTGTCCTTTTTGTGGGTACTACAGTGAGACTATGCTCCATGCATTGCGTGATTGTGAGATGCCCAGGAAAGTGGGGGAATAGCTTATTCCCCTCTCATGCTGGCTTTAATTCTTTATGTCTCCTTGGCTTAAGTGGGTTGACCACAATCTTGCCTCTCCAATGTGGATATCTTATAATAACTGGGCCTTGATTTTCTTCGCTTCCATTTCATCCCTTTGGTTTTGGCATAACAAACAAGTATACGTTCCAAATTTTTTCATACCTCTTCATCAGATTGATATTATTAGAGGGGAAGTTCTTGAGTTTGAAGAAGTACGAACCACTTTCGATTTGAAGGGTAGCCAAGGCGTACTACATGCCTTTTGGTCTCCCCCCTTCCTCAATGGGTTAAAGTCAATGTTGACGACTCTGTTTTGGAACCACAAGGCTTAGCAGGAGCGGGTGGGATTATCCGATCGGACCGAGGCAGTTGGATTGGTGATTTTCGGTATCACATTGGCTCAGCCCCTGTCATTGTTGCAGAGTTGTGGGCTATTTGGCTAGGGCTGCAATTCACTTGGGAAATGGGGTTTCGAAAGGTGGTCGTTGAGTCTGACTACGTTGATGCTCTGAATGTGTTAAAGTCCTCATCTATAGTTAACCCATGCTTCAACATCTGTCAAGAAATCAAGGAGATTTTGGGTCGTGATTGCGTCTGTGATCTCCAACCCATTTGGTGTGAGGCAAACAAATGCATAGATTTCCTTGTCAGGAGTGCTCTTCATCAAATTTCCTTGCATTAACATATTGTCTTTCCCCTTGGAAGTTGGCTAGGTTGATAGAGGAGGATACACCAGAGCTTGTTAGCTTTGAGTTTGGTGTTAGAGCATCTCCAACGGTAATAGGCATTTTACCTATCGAAACATTACTATAAAGTATACATTTTATTTTGCCTATCAACTGTTTCATATTTCTGCTCCAACCATGCTCTTTATTTTAACTATTCATCCAAATACTATTAATTTTATAAAATGCCACATCAGCAACAAAGATGGAGGGAAATAATCCTAATGATTAAACACATTTTGCCTAGCCTTGAAGGCTAGCTACATGTAGCTAGTGAATGTGAGTTGAGCTAAAATGACTAATTACATGCCTAGTGCATTGGAGTTGAAAAAAGTGAGTTATACTAGGCATTTTACCTAACAAGCATTATATGCCTAGTGCATTGGAGATGCTCTTACTTTAGTTTCAGCTTCGGCCCCATTTGCACCAATATATATATATATATATATAAAATTAATTTCTCCTATATTATTTTAGCTGCTTTTTAACAATATAAAATGAATATTTTAGAAAACTTAATTTTATAATAGAGAGTTTGATACAAAATATACTAACTAAAATAAAAAGGGTAAATTACACAGACATCCTGGAAGTTTGACCAAATTATATCCCACTCTTTGACGTTCTGGGAAATTACATTCCCACCTTTGTGGTTAATAGTTCCATTTCACAAATCTCCCTACTTATATAAAAGGCGACAATTCCTAATAGAAAAACAGAGGAAATTATATTTTTTTTTAAAAAAAGGTAAAGCATAGGAAGAAAAAAAAAAAGAAAAGTAAAACAAAGTAAGAAAAGCGAGAGTACAAAAGTTCAATATTTTCATTCCGTCTAAATAATTACAATGACAGGGGGGTTAGTGTAATTTTCCAAACGTCAGAGAGTGATATGTATTAAATCCAAATCTCAGGAGTATAAGTGTAATTTACCTAAATAAAAAAGGATAAATTACACTGACACCCCTGAGGATTCTATTTATTACAGATTCCTCATCACTATCTTCTCCTACACACTTCTTTATACAATTTTTTAATACACATTTTTTCATAAAAAGTCAAAAAGTTAATCCAAACATCTATATTTTTTTTCTCAACTTTTTCCTCGACTTTTTAGTCCAAAAAGACAAAAAGTGCACTTATTTAGGACACCCCAAACAACCCTTAAAACTTGTTGGGCTTGTTTGGTTTGTATCTAAAGATACAATTTTTTTAAAAAAAATTTCTAAATTTTGTTTGGTTCAAAATTTTTGAATTTTTTTTTTTAAAAATCCGTTTATCTCTCTTACACATCAATCAATCATTTTTTCTCTCTCCTCTCTCATTCTTAATTACTTTTTCTCTCACACACGTCTACTCAAGTATAACAAAATATCAAATCATCCCAAATTCTCAAATTCCAAAACTATTTTCAAAATATACAACTAAACAAATTAAAAGAAATTCTGAACTCTCTCCCTAATTTTTTTTTTTAAAATTTATTTCAAAACACGAACCAAATACACCCGTTATGTTTTGAAGCCAAGTTTAAATACTAACTACCCAACTCGACTTAATTCGTTCGGAGCCTCAGGTATGATGATGTTTCAATATTTTTGTATTGTGAGCATCTTTTTTTTTCTTTGTTGTTACATCATACAACTTGAAGTGCATTAGAACCATGGGGATTGCAATTTTAGGGAGAAAACTAGGTTAAATTACACTAATTTCCCTTCAAATTTAGAAAAATTATAGCTAAGCTCTCACTTTTGATATAATTGCACTAACGTCCCCTTTAATAAAGCTAAATCGACTGAAACTAATGCAAATAATAGATAAATAATAAAATAAATAAAGATAAATATATATTATAGTAGATAAAAGATGACAACATAATTTTTTCATTTATACGACTAACGAATTATTGATGAAAAAAGACTCAACTGTTATGTAAATTAAAATCTTAAAAGATATCTATATAATTATATCAAAAGTATAGAGTTAATTGCATTTTTTTTTTTCCTTTCTAAACAACAGGCGAGCCAAAGAACTATGATAGTAAGTAGATAAAGTTATTACCAGAAAGTATCATTTCCAGTGGAAGGCCACAAGACATTGGTGAATCTTTGTGTGCCCTCAAGAGTTGTTGCATTCTCAAAGAGAAAACCTTCACTGGCAGTCCCATAATAGGTAATTCCTTCTTCATTGGCAGTGTTGTGAAATTTGGTTTCTGCTGGGAGATCAAACAACCCTTCCAATGACTCCAACATTGAGTTGTGAAGCTTCAAAGGAAGTTTATCATAAACTGCTACAAAACAACCATACTCTTCTAGTGCCCTTAGAACTTCATTGGATGTCCCAAGCCAAGAACTAGTGCCTGGCTTCAAGTCTTCCTTTGTTAAGTCTACAACAGGAAGCTTGGGAACTGTTTGGGAGCCCATTATTTTAGTTTTTTCCTCTCAACTGACTTGTTCCTTCCATGTCTATATATAATACATAAAGAATCTTCCATACCTTTCAATCGACAGTACCATTTTTTTAGATAAATTACATTTTACCTCCTTGTGTTTAGCCCTTCTCTCACTTTGACTTTTTTTTTTTCTCATTTTAGCCCTCATGTTTCAAATTTTTAAAAATTTACTCCAAAAGTTAATTTATGTCCAATATTAGATAGAAAATGACACATTAACAGCCACATAGCATAAATATATTTTGTTATATATAATTCACACATCTAATACAAACCCAACCAAATCTTAATATAATAATATATTTTTTATGTCACGTGACTGTCAATGTGTCATTTTCTGTCTAATTTTGGACATAAGTCAACTTTAGGAGTAAATTAGAAAAAAGTTAAAACATTAAAGGCGAGAAAAAAAAAATTTAAGGGCCAAAATGGAAAAATGACCAAACATAAATGGGGCAAAATGTAATTTACTCCTTATTTTTTTAGTAAATCACGCTAACCTTCCTAAAGTTTGAAGAAAATATAGTAAGTTTTGCAGTTTTGACATAATTACATCAACATCTCTTTTAGTGAGGTTAAAGAGACAAAATTAATACAGATGATTTGAAAATATAAAGATAAACAAAATAAAATATATATTTCAATATAAAAGTGATAACAATATCATTTTTTTCATCCAAAAAATTAACAAAATATTAATGAATAAGGGTTTAAGTATACTGTGAACTAAAAAATTTAAGAAAAATTGATATAATTATGTCAAATTTATAAAATTTATTATATTTTTTTAAAATCTTAATTTTTAATAATAATAATAATAATAATTAGGGAAGAGAAAAGTCCTAAAAATATATTCATTACCTGCCAATTATATTACATGAACGTGTCAATTTCACTTCTTAAAAATAAGGAAAGTCAAAGAAAATAAACAAACTCAACTACCACGGGAGATTCCTCATCAAGAAGTCTTGTGTTCACAACTGATCCCCAACTAAAATACTTTAATAAACATAATGATTGAGACATGGATTTTTTTTTTTTTCTTGGCTTGATTCACATGTGTTCACACTGGTATGTCCAATCTGATTCCTCCAAAAGAAAAAAAATAATTGCAAAAACACTTGGATGTTCCACAAGAGTACAATTATTTCTTTGTATTTGAGGTCACTTGATGTTGGAGGGGAATCCATTTGCATAGAGGGACCTCAATATATATATATATATATACAGGGAAATTTGGCCAACCACCTCTTATTACCATCTTTTTGTCACAAGGACAAGTGGAGTTTTGTTTTTAATGTATACATTTCTTTTAAAACATATTTCTCATTCCATTAGGGCATGGGTTTTTTAATTTTATTTTCAAATTGCATTTTATGTTAGTACATATTATTTGTGTTAGTTGAATATCAACTTCTTTATCTTTTGGCAAGCTAATTAAAAGCTAACTTTTAGCTTTTAACCCATTTTGGGTTATATCACCTGTCACATTTTTTATCCACAGAAAGACAAAAAAACCAAAAAAAAGAGTGAAAAAGCCACATTTTAACCAACTTCCCAAATCACCTCTAAATATTTAGAAATAAACTTTCAAATTATTGAAAATTGGATCGGATCTGTTCTAATCCATAACCCCCATAGAATGTTCACATGGATTATATAATAATTTTCAGATATATATATATATATATATTAGGAATAGATATAGAAAAATAATGGATTATTAGTAGGAGATTGGGTAGTTGTAGATAATTAAATCTCATCTTATCTGTAGGATAATATCTCTATATAAGAAATTAAAATAAGAGTAATGCCATTTAAGTCCAAAATAATCTTGAGTTTACTTCAAAATTTTCTATGTAGTAAATATTGTTGTCGCTATTCATCTATCCAAGGTTACCATCATTGTAGCTTGGAATTTGGAGTTTGGGTTTCTTAAGAAAGACTCTAGTAGCATCTCTATTAATAAATAGGGGTGTAATTTGGACGGATTCAACTCAAGTAACTAAAGCCTAATGCAAATTGTTTTAGGGGTTTGGATAAAATATTTTTGAATTAGGTACAGGCTTGGGCAAAAATTCAAAAGTCTGAATTAAATTTGGACGGATGAGCAAAAATATCAAACAACCTGAGTAATTCGAAACCCAAATTATAATATATAAAAATATTAATTATACATATAAATCATTAGTTGTTGGATGATATTATAGTAATTTAGATTATTAGATTATATTGAATATATATTATAAACACAAGTAACAGAATACAAAATCTTATGCTCCCTCCCCCCCTCCCCTCTCCTCCCTTACTCAGAGGCAATTTGGTCCTAACTTGGGTTAGGCTTGGGCAAACAATCTTGAGTTACAATTCAGGCTTATACGAGCCTGGATAGCTCTCAACATAACTTGATCTGAACTTTGACAACCTTTTAATCGACTTGAACATGCCCGAATTGCTCCCTTACTAATAAATTTGTAAGAAGAAGCTTGTAATTCAGGCTTTTGGATCCAAACCGATGGGTGATTTCTTTCGTTTAAGGTGACTCGAATACCCATCTTTAGTTTATACAAACAAAAGTCAATTTTTTGGATATCAATTATTGAATGAAAATTTATAACTGAATAATTAATTTTTGTTCAAAAGTTAATGTCTGGACATTTGATTTTTATTCAAAAATTAATATCTGAATGACACAAATGCTTGCACTAAGAATTTATGTGGTTTGCGAATAGAATTAACTCCATAAGACACGTGTCTTGTGAGTCTTTGTTGGACAGTTTTACCCCAACTCTATTTTTCTCGCCGATTCTGATGTAGCGTGAAATGTGGAATAGTAATAGTCTTAAAAATTTATTGATTCAAACAAGAATACCAGAAGTAAGATCCTTCTTTAGACTCATTGATTCACAAAGAATACCCAAGATTGAAACAAAAGAGTATAAAACTCGAAATATATTAATTCTTAAAACCTGTTTTGCCCTAAAACTTACATTTTTATTTATAACAAACCTAATTCTTGTAGAACAAAAACCTAATAAAATAAGAAAATTACGTCATATCAAATAATTTTTTACTAAATTAAAATATTCCTAGTTAAATATTAATTTTAAAATAATAAATAAAAATATTTATTTTCTAAAATTTCGTCTCCATCAACTTGTCTTACACAAAGCCAAAACGCCCCTCAATCCCCTTCTCATTCTCCAATGGCATCATCTCTATTCTCCCCTTGCATTTGTTTATAAATTACTACGAAATTTTACCCTGTAAATATAAGTTTAGTATTCGTTTGTTATTGTTTGGTGAATATATATGTTTTTTGATTTTAGTAATGTTATTAGTAATTTAAATAATTTTATGCTATTATGGTAATACTCATTTTTTCTATTTCTTCATAGCTGTCAATGGAATTTTACCATTTTATTATTCAACAAAAGAATTTTGACAAGTATCTTTACAATAAAACAAAAAGAATTTTGACAATTTTTATCTTTTTCAAAGATTTTTATCTCAATATTTCAACAAGTGATGATAACCATGATGATTAATATCAAAATAGTGGAAGAATTTCACTATATAAATGCTAAGCTCATTAAATTTCACTATCTAAATAAACATTAACACAATAAAATTTTAAGAGATTTATAGCATACACCGCTTAAAAGGTATATATAGTAAGGAAATTAAGATTTTTGTAATGAAAATTATGAATATTTGTGCTGTGTTATGCCACTTTGCGGTAAAGTTATGAATAGTGAATTTATGGTGTACACCTTATATAGCGACTTGGATTAAAAACCAACTCTTCTGTATTCTTTGGATTGGGATTCGGTAATCATGATTGTTGTTTCTACTCCTTGTTGCCTTCTTGTAGTGTGGATTGATTGTTTGGAATTATTCGGTTGTGTTGTGAGCAAGTTGGGAATTTGTTTTTCAAAAGAGTTTATGTTTGTTTTTCTTCAGGTTTGCTCGAGTGGTCTTTTCCTTGCTCGAGTGGTCTTTGGTTCCTTTCAGTATCTGTGTTTATGGTATGAACGTATGGCAGTGGGATGTTCTTCGCTTGAGCTATGGGTTGGTCACTCGAGCAATATTATGTATCTGATGCTTGAGCGGTCTTTCTTTCGCTCAAACGGTCTCCTGTAGCTCTAAAATATTAGGAAGGTGTCATTGTACACTCGAGCGGTCTGTGAGTATATCAGTATGGGAAAAAGATATTTTCAGTCACTTTTTTATCTCTCTCTCTCTCTCTAAAAGTTAACTTTACCAAATTTCTTCGCACTCTCTCTAGTTCTTGTCTAAACACCCCAAATACACCCAAATCCATTGATCTCGCCGCCATAGTGCTTTGGAAAAAAACGTAGTGCTCATAGAGTTAAATATTCTAATAGAAAAAGTTCCATTTTCAACTTCGACAAAAGTTGGGACTTGTTCTAATTTTCTTGTACTCTTGAAGTAGGGATTTCTTCAACCTCCTTGTATGATTCTTAGCCTCGTTATGTGTTCCTTGAAAATATTGCTATTTGGGAGTAATGGCTTGATTTAGGTTTGATTTTGAAATATAAAATACGGGTTTTCAAATGCATTCTTGAGAAATGTTATGAAAATGAGTATATTTTTGAGTTATGTTGAAATATTGAAAATCACTCATTTAAAAGTGTTTTGGAAATGAATAGATGTTTTGTTAGAAATATTAGAAATCATTGGTTTGAACTAAAGAAAAAGGGAAAAGATGTTGAGTTTTTGAAATAATAAAATGAATGTATCTTTGATAAAGAGAATGAAGTTAAATATGTATTGTCACTCCTTTATTGAGATTATGAAATTATAGTTGTTGTTGGAGATTTATCTTTTGTATAAAGATATTTGTTTTTGGCTATCAATGGAGGATAACTTTGATTATTGTAGAAATGACATGAGGATTAGGTTAATTGAAACCAACTATTCATATATCTTGCATTGAACATTGTTTCATATTTATACATTGAAAACATATTGTTTTGAGAAAAAATG